GTGTGTGTGTGTGTGTGTGTGTGTGTGTGTGTGTGTGTGTTTTCCTGTGGGAGTGGGGGGACTGAACATATGGGCATGTGCATATGGAGACTGAAAATGGCCATCAGGTGTCTTCTTCACTACCTCTCCATCTTCTATATTGAAGCAGGGTCTCTCCCTGAACTCAGAGCTCAGTTTTTGCTTCTCTGGCTAGTTAAATTGCTCCAGGGATTTCCTGTCTCTGCTTCCCTAGCACTAGGATTATAGGTGGGCTACCAAGCCCAGCTGACTTCTAGAAACTTCAGTCCTCATGTAGTGTAGCAAATGTTTTACCAGCTGAGACATCTCTCCAGTCACAGGGCTTTTTTTAAATAGGAGAAAGCTATTATGTAGCAAGACACAATAGTCTCAGCAAATTCTTAAGATAAAAGAATATTACAAAAGAACAATGAGAGAGTCAGCATAGGCTCTGCCCCAGATCTTTGGGATATAAGTCCACTGTTCTGTATCAGCAGGCTGACTCTGGTTCTCTGACAGAAAGTTACTGCTTACTACAGTGAGAGAACATGTCAGCATCCATAAAGATGACACTGTGGCCCATCAATTTCAGATGTTCATTGTTGTCAACTTCGTGATAGAAATGGATAGGACTGGGGCTGGAGAGATGACTTAGATAGAGCACTACTCTTTCAGAGGGCCTGGCTTTGACTCCCAGCACCCATATGGTGGCACACAACCACCTGTAACTTCAGTTCCAAGGAATCCAAAGTCCTTTTCTGGCCTCCTTTGAGAACCAGGCATGCATGCAGTACAGAGATACACATTTAAGCAAAAGGTACACATAAAATAGATCAGATGGGTTATATCTATCTATGTGCATACTCCTTTGTAGATCTCCTTTAGGTTAAACAGTATAAGCAATGAGGTAGTATAAACAAACCCAGCTTCTCCGGCCTCTTTTTTTCTTGCTTCTCTGGCTTCTTAGTGGAGAAAATCCCAAATAAAACACATAGGCTAACCAGACAGGTTCCAACCAACACACTCAAAAAAACTGGTGACAGTCTTTAAGGTTTAGCTTTTGTAAGATGAAAAAGCTTTCATGTCCCAATTTTATAGGGAAAAAAAATCACTAATAATCACCACCAGATAAAAAAAATTACAATGTGAATCTGAATAAGGTTTTGAATAAAACAAAGAATTTTCTGATTAACAAACTAAAGCAGTTTTAGTGACAATGTTTCTATATGACTAAGTAAAAAATAATATAATACAAAGCCTTTTAATTTCATGTACTGTCTTCTTGAATTTGAAAATTCTACCTATTCCCAATGAAGTCTTCATATACTACACTTTTAATAATAGCTTCAAGAAGCCAACACATGAATACTTGTCACTGTATTGGCATCAATGAGGTAACACCAATCAAAGTATTTTGTTCAAACTGTACTCATCCCCAGCAGCAGTATCAAGATGCTCTCATCAGACCTCCATCAAGCTCCTTTCCCCACAAGCAACCACTCAAGAGACAAGTTACTGAATACAAGAAGAACAAAAACAACAATGTAAATCCTAAGAAACTTTTCAAGCTGTAGAGCTACAGGATGCCTGCAATGCACATGGAAAGAGAGAGCTACAGGGACAAAGGGCAAGTGAACCCTCCAAGTGTCTGTACCAAGATCACAGGCTATAACGATAAGCTACAGCAAAGTTCTCTGCAGTTACATGAGTAAAATCATCTACTCTTTTTTTAAGATTTATTTTTATTTATGTTTCTCTTCCTGAATATGTGACATTTGTGTGGGACAGCTTCTATTCCGTGTGTGTGTGTGTGTGTGTGTGTGTGTGTGACTGTGTGTGTGTGTGTGCCTGTGTCTGGGTGTCTGTGCATACACAGGGAATAAGTTCTTACAAATTAAATCTAAGTAACTATTCAGATGTGCTTGGAAGACACCTATATTTCACATTCACTGTAAAATAATCCTTCTTGGGTGCAGACCAGGCTGGAGAAACCCACAGAAACAGCTGACCTGAACAAGGGGATGCTCATGGACCCCAGACTGATAGATGGGAAACCAGCATAGGACTGTTACAGATCCTCTGAATGAGGATGTCAGTTTGTAGATCTGGTTAATCTATGGGGCCTCTGGTAATGGATCAGTATTTATCCCTAGTACAGGAATGGACTTTGGGAGACCAATCCACATAGAGGGATATTCTCCCAGTCTAAACACATGGGGGAGGGTCTAGGCCCTGCTCCAAATGATATGACAGACTTTGAAAATGCCCCATGGAAGGCCTCGCCCTCCCTGGGGAGCAGAAAGGGAATGGGATAGGGGGGCCAGTGGGAGGCAGGGTAAGAGGAGAGGGAGAGGGAGAGGGAACTGAGATTGACATATAAAAGAAGCTTGTTTCGAATTTAAAAATAAATAAATTAATTAAAAAATAATCCTCAAAATCTGAATCCAATTCTTACATAGGAAAAAAATAGAAAAAAAAATAATACTTTTCATTTGTGGGTGGGAAGAAAAACTTAGAACTTGAGGGCTCTTTAGTGCCCAATGTTCAAAATAACAGTGCACTTCATCTGACGTTATTCTAATTAAACAAAGTATTCAAAATGTCTTCTCCACCAGGGCTGTCTTTGTGTCCCCAATGGTAGCATACCTGCAACATAGCTTGGGCCCCGGCTTTCACATTTGTGTTGTCCTCCTCTGTCACACACCCTCTGCTCATGGCGCTTGTGAAGGAATAGGTGCGTCCCCAGCTGGATGATCGTTTATGACCAGAACTTTCAGACGAGGCCTTCAGAAGTTAATAATCCATTAGCCAAGTAGGGACAAGCCTGTGTTTACATACTTAGTTCCTTAAACTCTGCTTAGCACTTGACTTCTAGCACCCAAGGTGGTCTCAGGCCTCAGTGTGTACTGTGAGAGCTGTGTTTGCCTGATGTTGGGACAAAGAAAACAGGACCCTACACAAATTCTACTTGCTTATTGTTGATCTGATCTCATAACTAGTTACTAAAATGATTTCCCCAATATTGAAACAGCAAAACAACAGAATCAATTCAGACATTTAAAAATTTTAAGTCTCTGGCTAAGGATTTCAAATATTGTAAATTAATTTAATCAGGAAGATAAATATAATTTGCTTCTTTTGTGCTTAGCAGGATGTTCCGTGCTGTCATTTTAGGTTTATTCAAGCCTTAGCTTTGAATAGGACAGTGCCTCCTGCAGGGAAGGCAGCACTGCTGATATACCAGAAGTACTTGCTCTTTACTCAGCTAATCTCTCCAAATATTTAATACAGATGTCTTCTGGACAGTGAACTGCAAAAGACAAGTCTGGCAAAACATTCTACATTTAATTTTTCCAACAACTATTTATTTAAACAAGTCAAGGAGTGCATAACAGCTTTTCAGTCTCACAGAGAGAACTACAGAATATGAGAAAACAGATGTCTTGCAACAGTGATTAAGAAAGTTGCCATGATCATAAGGCTCTAGGCTAAGGGTGAAGGAGACAACTGCCCACCAAAGAGGGAACATGAACAATGCTTCTAAGGCAGGTCCTCACAGAACCAAACAGCCCGAGAATGTTATGCTCCTGCCTGTCTTCATGGCTAACCTCTACTTTGCCAAGAGGTATGTGCCCTCAACTCAGAGTCTGAGCAATAATGTTACCTCCTTGGAGTCAGTCTCTGAAATTCCTAATTTGTCAGCATCTTCTTGGGCAACATCCTTTTTATCTGGTTCCTCCATGAACACAGGTTTGTTCTGCAGGATCCACTTCCTGTATACTTGAACTACTTTTCTTGTTACAGATATCTCACAGGAAGGCAACAAAAATGCCTGAAAAGAAAAAAACAAAACAAGAAACTCTTTAATGCCACACAAGCTCAGATCATTATATAGCCACCTTACAGTCATTTCCACTACCAACTTCAGAAATATTTAACTTGTACAGAGACCACACACACACACACACACACACACACACACACACTTTTCTGTATACCACTCATCAGAAGGAAAATGACATCCTTATAACTGGAACAGAAAAATAATAAAGTTTCACAGATTCATCTCTATCCAGGTAGCTTTTTGTACAAAACTAACTAAACCATACATATACAGGTATTTTAATTGTCTATATAAAATAATTACAACTAAACTTGTAAGTTTCCTCAAAAAAATGAGAAATGGTTTGTAAAGTAAGAGATAGACTGTGGCAGGCATGGGGGCTGGCTGCATTTACCTGCTCTAGGTTCTGCACTCAGATGAGCCAAGTTTTCAGGTGGAAACTTGATGTGGCCATGCCTGGGTTAGTTAACACTACAGAAGCTGGAGACTGCTACAAATATGAGCTCTTCTTGCTTGTTTTGCCTTTTTCTTCCTCTCTCACCTTTCTTTCATCCCACTTCTGTTCCTTCCCGCCTTTCTCCTTTACCTTCTTCACAGACAGGTTTCTACATTTATCAGAACATCAAGTTCACCCGCAAATGTTAACCAACCTGGCCACTGGTAATACTGTGCACATTTGTAGGAACTTTAAATACCTTATGTGTGCACTTACAGACCAGAAGTCCACATTGGACGTATTCCTCAACTGCTTTACCATCTTATTTTATCAGATAAGAACTTGGCAATTTGGCTAGACTGGCTGACCAAGAAGCCACAGGGTCTTTCTATATTTGCTTCCCTAGTGCTAGGATTACAGACACATGGTACCACATTTTATTACATGGGTGCAGGGGATCTGAGCATTTTACCAACTGACCCATCTCTCAGTTGAGGAAATTTTTAATATTAAGGAATCTCCTTAGATATTTGTGATTTACTGAAAGAAGATAGAAAAAATGACTTTGAAGAGGAAATGCATTTGCCTTTTGCATCTCAGATTTAGGGCCTATTGCTGTAATACAAGGTAGGCAGGAAGGACTAGCACCCCACACCCAAATGACTGAATGACAAGGACAAGGACACAGACAAGGACAAATGAGCCACAATAGTTCCTGGACACTTTTTAAATACCACCCCTAAGTTTCACAACAAAGGACACAATGACAGGCAGATGTCACTTCGGCATTGGTACATAAGATACAGACATTGCCACAGGTGTCAACCAGATCACATCAAATCCCAGAACACAGGAGTCTCTGTTATCAAAAGATTACAAAAATTGAATGAATTAATATTCTGCCATGTAACACCATAAACACAATGGTTTATGACAAAGTGAATGTTGTTTCACTTCTTCCTGAATTTTATTGCAAAAAAAATCACACAAATAAAATTAATTTTTTCATAGTGAATAGCCATATCTCTATTCATCTAATGTTATTAGCAGTACTATATTTGTTTCATTACATATTTACATCCCTCTATCCTTCCTTCAATCCATTCTATTTCTTTTGTACTTTATTGTTCTATTTGATCTACAAACACTTCAGCCTCCATGCTTCTGATTAAAGTCTAACATTTTTATTGTACATTATTTAGAAAAACTTTACAAAGAAGGAAATACAAGGACCATTAAATCAGTTTTGACAAAATGTAGACAACTTAGTAATCCAAAAGCGATATAAAGGCATAGCATACTATCCTCCTCACAGACAGCAAGGAGTAGCTCTTGTATAGGGGAAAATAAAATTATAAAAACCAAACAAAAACAAAACAAACAACAAAAAAACCACAAAAAATACCTCTACAAACAGCCAGGATAATAATCCCAGCACTCAGGAAGCAGAGGCAGGCAGACCTGTGAGTTTAAGGATAGCCTGGTCCACAGAGCGAGTTCCAGGACAAGCTCCAAAGCTACAGAGAAACCCTGTCATGAGGAAAAAAAAAAAAAAGTAAAAGAGCATTGACCATGGTCGATTTCTTGAAGACACACCTCAAAGAGTAAAAAAGCTATGGATACCATCAAAATTAATAAAGATTCAATTGAACAGGAAAAACCTCTTGATAAGGAGAAATGGTAGCTCATCCATCGGCTTGACAATCCTACAAGCTGTAAGGAGGCTCACCAAACAAGGGCCAGGGAAGGGTTCTGTTTTTGTCTTTACAGGAAAATAGAAATACCCATCTTTAAGAAATCAAAAGACCTTGGACATCTTTATGTGTAAAGAAGAAGGGAAAGCTAACCAGACAAAACTTGACAAAGAAAAATCAGACCTAATGGTACCGATATTCTCTACAGGGTAAAATCTCACTACCTAAATATCTGTAACTCTTTACTTCTCAGAAAAATTGTAGACCCAACTCTGTTGTAAATCAAAGCTGGCTTTAGAGTCAGAGTATAGCTCTCTTCTTCTCTAAATCCAAGCATGCTGCCAAAAGAAAATATTAAGAGTTTCTGTTTCATATCAGAAGAGCCACCAGTGTGGGACAGAGAAAACTAAAAATATAGTGACTATTGTTGTCAAAAATTCTTTTTCTCCAAGGAGAACCCTAAGAGAGACATACAGGGTTCCCTGGAGAAGGGGAAAGGGACAAGAACTCCTGAGCAAATTGGGAGCATGGGGGTAGGGGAGAAGGATCTAGGAGAAAGAGAAGGGGAGAAGAGGGGAGAGGAGGACATGAGGGAGCAGGAAGGTTGAGTCAGGGGAAGAACAGAGGAGAGCAAGAAAAGATATACCTTAATAGAGGAAGCCATCATAGGTTTAAAGAGAAATCTGGCACTAGGAATTTACAAGATATCCAGAGATCTACAAGGATGACACCAACTAACAATCTAAGCAACAGTGGAGAGGCTATCCTCTCCTGATTTAAATGCCCTCCCCTGATAATGAGATTGATGACTACTTTATATATGCCATTCTAGAGCCTTCATCCAGTAGCTGATGGAAGCAGAAGCAGAAACCCACAGCAAAACAAAAGAAAACAAAACAAAAAAACCAAACTTTTTCTCCCCATATTTATTCTTGATTCTTTGGAACCTTTCTTTACATATAGTGCTATCCTAAAATTTAAAGTTTCCATTCTGATATTACTAATGTTTAAGTTTTTCCACAGTGAACAATAAAATTTCCTGATCTCTGAAGTCTCCAGAGGAAGATGGGGCCCCACAACAATGAGTCTACCTGGTTCACAATGATTCTACTGAAGCGATATACACCACTCAAAGATCAACTTGGACTATAAACTGCTCAAGATAATTCCAAAGTGGCTAACTGAGATGGTCCAGCATCTCACACCTCTAGACCAAACTTCAGATAAGCTTTGTCCATTACTCTGAGATTGGCTACAAATATTATAGCTAGTCCTAATGAGATTTAATCATTGTTTTAGTTTAGGTTTTTTGTTTGTTTGTTTGTTTGTTTGTTTGTTTTTTTCAGAATCCCACAGAGATACCATTGCCCCCTAGAGAGCAGGAAGCAATTCTAGAAAATGATACCCTCTCTCCCAACTGGTTTTGTGTTCTCAGGGTTATGGATAATTGTTATCTGTTAGGGGTTTGTTATAAGTTGGAATAGGGTTGGGGATGGAACAATGAAGTTTAGAATCAGGAATCTCTTTTGGAAAAGAAAAACGGGGAATAGATAAGGACAGGATAATAAGGTACCTACTAGCAAACTAATTCAGCAACTATCAGCTTTTAGATAATTTGCATTGGTATGGATTTTTGTATATTGATACAAATGTAAAATTATTTTTTCTATTGCTAAGATAATTTATATATTGATACAAATTCAAAACTATATTTGTCATATTATACATATGTTCCTACTCCTGTTTAAATCATTTTTATATACTCATACAAATGCAAATTACACTTGTCATGCTATATGTATGTTCTACTTCTGCTTAGGATATTGACACATATTAAGGATGTTGTTATCATATTGCACTATACAGTTCTACCTCTGATCAAGATATTTTGTATATTCAAAGTCATTGTCCTTATACTGTACATCTGTTTATAGATTGTATATTTTTATATATGAAGCCTTAGTCTTTAAGCTATTTAGGTAGGTAAAAAATATATGTTAATAGTTACCCATGCTTGTCATACCTATAGCCATATAAGTTAGGTTTTCTAAATATACAGAGATATATGTCAGATGGTTAGGTAATCTTCAAACACTTCATAGACCTAGAGAATATGGCATTTAAATGTTTAATAACTTAGAATTCTGTTGACCTGAGACATGATTGCTCCTGGCAGTACCGATCTATTCCCGAGAGGAGGTTGGGTATCAAAGACACTCCATATAAAATCAGTCTTCTTCTTGGAAAAATAGCCTGCTGGACAAAGAACTGCCCCAGCCTCAACTGCTGACAGTAAGCATATTGTCCCGATCTGGACGTACAGGACACAAGGAGAAGAGACTGCTGAACCTTGCCAAGACAGGGTAGGACAGTCTTTCAAAATTTCCTGCTTCTGAAAATGCTGTTAGATATTCTAGGCCTGTAGCCAAAAGTGGATGCCCCAACATTACAGAAAAACATTGGGTGACTATCCAGGCAGTCAGATGTCTCTGTCATTTCTTGCATTTTTCAGAAGTTGCTTGCATGCACTTCCTGTTTACTCAAGTAACATTATTTTCCTCCTCAGGTCTTTGATGGGGTTGAAGACTAAATAATCACAGTTACAGTCTTCTCGTATCTTAATTAAGAGCATATTAGGTACTAGATTCAGATTCTTTAGGACAGGACAGCTATTGGAATAATCTCTGTAATTTGCCATTTACCTATGATTCGGACATTTAGTGTGTGTTTTTTTTTTTTTTTACTAATGTTGTTCTTGTTGGTTGTAGCTCCATTTTTGTTTATGTTATTACCCTTTCTTTCTCCTGGACAACACTTAATCATTCTTATTGTATATAGTTTTGTGTTCGGTATAGAAC